TGATTCCTGGGTTTGAGTTCCAGCAAGAATGCTATCACTGAATTAGAAGGCGGGTATATCCAGCTTAGGAGTCCCAAATAGGACGAAACGTGTGTCTTTGGATCCCACTACTATCAACTTTCACTCATTAGCATCAGAAATAAATTTGATTGCTCTAACTAGTAAAGAAACATTGGTACCATAACACAGATATTAATGTTAGAAACACCAGAGAAATCTGCTGTACTTACCAGTACATTTCATTTGCGACCACACTATCAGGGGTTAGTTTACACTGTGTTTTTGTTCGGCAGTTTAAACGATAACAGCCGATCATATCTAACTGATTCCATGATCCAGAATACTATTGAGAATATGTGTTATTATCAATGTTCCACGTATCTTGAGTGAAAATGACGGAGTACTAGATGGCATTTGAGAATCAGGGTTAGCTTCATCAGACTGGCCTATTTCACGCATCATCCCAGTCTAAAAGAAACGAGAGAAAACTTTTTGTGACAACCATAGGGAATTAGTTTGGCTAATATTGTGTCCAAGATCCTAGAGTCCATAGTTATCCGACGCCTAACTGAAGCTCGAAAACAGCAAACTCAAGAAAATCAGGCTTGTTTCAGACCTGAAAGAGGGTGAATCGACCATAATTTCACCCACCGACATGTTCTGGAACACGGACATACACTTACCGGCGGCCGACACTTGTCATTTTTCTTAACGTGAAAGTTGCACTTGACTCAGACGATCGTGAGGTGTTGTGGCAGTGTCTGACTGGGAAGGGAGTACCAAGCAATTATATAACGCTCATCAAAGCCCTCTACTCAAACTCACGCAGCCATTTTAGGGCGTATGGAGAGTTGAAATGTGAACTGACAACAAATAGAGAGATCCACCAGGATGCCCATTGTCACCGTTTCCATTTAACTTCGTTATAGACGTACTAATGGACATAACCTTAGGTACGTCCGACTTCATGGAGATTGATCTGTTTGCTGGAGGTCACTTGGTTGGCTTTGATTATGTAGATGACATTTGCCTCCTAGGTAAAGATGCTGACAAAATGCGGGGTCTTTTGAACGTGTTGAGGATAAATCTGAGTGTTTTTTGGCATGTGTTCAGATCTGTCAAATGTAAGATGATGTCCAAGGATTTGTGTGGACCCACTCCCAGTTTAATGATACGGACTGAAATGGTGGAATGTGTTGACCGTTTCGCTTACTTGGGGAGTTGCTTCAGCCCACTGAACAGGCTGGTTGATGGCGAATCTCAGCTTGGAAACAGAAGCCTCGTTTGACAGTTGGTAACTAGGGCCATCTGTGGCGCAGACTCGTGAGACATCTATTTTGGGCTGCTGTCCGTTCTGTTCTGTTAAACGGCTGTCAGACATGGCCTTTAAACGTAGAAGACATGAAGCAATTACAGGGTTATGACCAGAGATGTCTTCATATCATTGTACCCTTATGATGGAATTATGTGAGCTATGTTGAGGTCGATCGAAGGGTACTAGGCAAGATAGGCGAGTCGATTGACGAGGTAGGTTGTGAACGTTGATCGGGTGAGGTGGGTTGGATATGTGTTGTGCATACCGATCCACCGCCTACCTTGAGGTGGGAAGGTGGATTAGGTTGGAATAGGGTTCAGGGTGGCCAGAGCAAGACATGGAAGCAGTCGATGAAGTCCATGACTGTTGGTGTGAGGTGTGTGTTGGGAGATGTGGACTGCCTGACTGAGGTCTTCGAGACGATGGGAATCAGTGTTTGAGAACTCTTGGTGACAATGGTGCAGACGTATTCACTGTTTCACGTCTTCTACAAACTTGAATATTCTCACTAACCTTTATCTTCAAATTGTCTATTCTCTCACACAACTTTGTCTACTTTGATATCATTGTTTTTCTATGCACCTGTTGTTTGTATAGTACTGTGGAAGTGCTACAACCTGAATCGATGCATTTTTCTGCTAGGTTCTACATTGATTGTCTGTTTGTCTGTCTATCCATCTGCCTGTCTGAGCAAAAATACCTTGGCAACTCAGTCAATTGACATAATATTACACTAGCCAAAATACAAACAGACGCCATGAACCACAAAAGTAATTAATACTCTCACGTTTCACAGAATACTGATGTATTAGTTATTTGGTGAGTGGTATATATCTAGTTATTTAATTTATGCTGGAATTACACCGTAGATTAAATTTTAAGTCCAACTGTCGACGAAATGAATCTGTAAAGAGAATGAAACAAACACTAGGAAGACGACGAAAAAAAGTTGAAAGAATGTCAACTAGTTCTTAACAAAAGTAGGAAATCAATATACTTCTGACTTCGTTGTTAGAACCAGTCATCTAGACAATCTTTAGTGAATTGGACATGGAACAAGGAGCCAAAACAATATTCTGTAGCTATTCGTTTAATCGGCGCACACACACACTCAGAAAGATATGGCCTGCAGGAAATTTTGGAACAGTCTGCAAGTAAAGAATATTTTAGAAATTAAAAAAGAAGAAAATATTGAAAAAGTCAAAAAATATATTTTGAAAATGATTTCATAACTTTCTGTTTATTCTGAAACACTTATTTTCAGTAATGATACCCTAGTGATTGTTATTATTGGCAATGATTCTGTCAGGACGTTAGTGATGGCATCACTTTTTGTTTTACTAAACTGCACATGTCGGCAGTGGATACTTTTTATTTTAGAAAAAAGAGAAATGAAGAAAGAATGTCAGTTTTAAATGGTATGATCTTATTCAAGTAGCATACTGTTCTTTTTTTCCTCTTTATTCTCTAGCTGGTACTTGTTTAAACACGAAGAACTTAATGCGTTATCTTTGCGTACAGATAACTTGTGTCAGAGCAAAGTGATGGTACCTAAAAGCACTAGAAAGGTGTTGCACGTCTTCTTTCCCGCCTTCAACCTTTCATCCAAGAGAATCGACAGCACGCTTCACTGCTGTCGAGTTATTCGGTTACAGGAAACGATGGGGGTCAGTTACTGATGAACCTATAAACGATCTTCAAGTTAGTGTTAAACATGGGAAGTATCAGTCGGAGGAACATTGAAAACTTGGAAGCACTGGTCAGTCTTTTCACCTTGGTATGAAAATCCTCAGTGGCACACATCCAGGACCCCGGCAGGTTTTGAACTCAAGACCTTCGGGCTTCACGATGAACGCCTTAACCATCCAACCACTAGATCAGTGCTCTACAGTTCACACTTCCCACTTCTGTTAATTCACGATATAGCGTGACTATTCGCTATTAGTTGACATCTACTTCACTTTCGACTGACTGACCCCAAAGGTCACGGTTTCTCATAAGAATTTCGGGATGTCACTAATGAGCGCTAAACAGTAATACAGCTTAAGGATTCTATTTTAAGGTGCGCACTGCTGAAAAGTCCTATACTAGGACAAGACAGTTGTCCGGTCCTCCAAGACTTTCAATGGTCCTCCAATTGTCGTCATTTCGTGATGAATACTACCTCAGGAATAAAAATCCTCACAAAACCTTAAAGTACATTACTATAAACGGTCTATTTAGTAATCAAAACCCGTGGAGCTCCAATTGAGCTAGAATTGTTGATCGATACTCGCAACGACACTAGGAAGTGGTTACGCTGTGTCAGAAAACGTTTAGTTCATTGATTTTGGGTTGGTTGCATAGTTTACTAGCTTCGTGAGAAATGAGGACTTAGATGAGAGTCAAAAACACAGACGAACACCTAAGTTCAAATCACTACGCTTATAAACTTTGCTATGAAAGACTGATTTATGTAACTAGGTTATGATATTGTTACCAGGGTGATTAGCACTGTTACCGACGTTTTGTTTAGAAAAAGGTCAGGTTGCAATCATCTGACTTTGGTTAGTTTTGCAAGCTATAGCAAAATTATCAGCACAGAGTTATCGAAGCATAACTTATAAATTTGTTTTTGATCTTCTGTAGTAAGCGTTACCACAATCCATACATGGTGTTGTCCAAGCCTTAGTTTCAGAGTTTCTGACCTTCGTGCTGAGTCACGCAAGTTCAAAGTGCCCAGGAAACATAAGTCTCACTATGTTTACGAAAATGAAAACTGTGCGAAGCACAGCTCACTGCTGACTGACTGTTAACATCAAATACAGAGCATGTGATTTTGTGTCATCTAGCTTAGTGGTCACTTTGCCAACTTGACCAATAAATATCTACCGGAACCTAGAATAATGCGGCTGAAATTATCACAATCAGACGGCTAATTCGTATGGATTCATATTCTCTGCTTAGAAGAAACTGTTTCCAACTTTGTTGTATAGATTGAATATTTGAATCTGGTTATGCGACATTCAGAAATAAAAGACAATAAATCGTGAAACTTGTTTCATGCTTCAATAAGGCACTTCTCTTTAACATAGATGAAAATCATACCTTTTCTAAAGTTCCAGCCTATGCCATTCAAAGCTATAGTTGGTGATGCAAGAACCTAGATTCTACGTTAATATAACTCTGTAGGCAGGTGCACTCACACCGTTGTAAAGGCAAAGTTTTGATTCTCACAAGGAAAGGAAACGCAAAATCTGAAAGAACCTTGGGTTAATTCTCCCTGTTGACCGTGTCTACTAATTCCCCCCTGATTTATGGTGACTCTGATGTCTCTGTTGAAACTATGAAGATAATCTTTAAGTCGACTGATTCCTCACACTTCAATTAGTCAAGCCATTTGCTTTTTATTTACGATACAAACAAATGTAAACGTACACAATCATCGATATTTTGCACTAGCAAATACCACCCGGATGGCAAGAATGTTTTGGACAGTATTTTTGAATAATTTACTTTCGGAGAGTTTTCGTTGTATTATTTTCAAATAATTGATAAAATATGTCACTTTCTCGAGTTGTGATGCAATCACATGTGTTATCTGTTTTGTCAACCTTCTCTTCGCCTCACTTCACTTTCCTTCGTTTTTCCTATTTTCCTACTATTCATTAGAATTTTTTATTGTTTTCCGTTCCCTTCTGTTTAGATCATTACAACAAGACGATTTGAATGCCTTGTATCAGCTGTTGTTGCCATCAACACCCTGTCTGGAAGTGTTTATTAATCGTTGCTCCGGTTCTGGGGGAATATCATTTGATCAGTGGCATAACTGTTTCGATATACCCGCAGGTAAGTTGACTTGTCTTATACATGTGTATACCCTGTACATCGTAAATGATAATCAGTTCAATACAACTGAGCGAAAGAATCCTGCTGGGTGACTGAGAGATATCACCGCTTACAGTTATCTACTCTACAATGATGTTTCCTATAGAGTCAGTTAATATATCAGGTCATAAAGTGTAGACAGAATGCTTTGTATTGTCGTTGAAGAGGGATAGAAAGTGTTTATCTCTAGTTGTACAAAAATTCCCATCATGTCACTTCCGAAAAACACAAGTACTTTAATGAAGAGGCTCTTGCCAGCGATCACATTCCCTTAAGTTGTAACGTCGAGCTTATACGCGATTTCTATGTTTTGTAAGTGTTCAATGTTTTAGACATTTACAATGACTTCTTATGTAAGGGATATGATAGTTGTCACCACTAAAAAATACTGAACACTTGCTAATAATATTGTTTAATGCAAACTGGATAAAGATGAAAACGTATTGACTTAAGGTTACATAGCTTATCAGAATATTCAGAGACGGAATTGTTGTGAAGAAGAGTACAGAAACAAGTAAGCGCTGATATTGTATGAGAAGTCAATAGAATACACGAAAGAGAATCGAAGATACTATGAAAGGTTATGGATTAAGACCGTGAGAGTAGACGACTTTGAATAAGTATATTTTGTTGACGAAATATTGAATTTTCTATGGGAATAGGTACAGCCTCACCGGTTCAAAGAAGGCGAACACGTATTACCTTCGGTAAATCACGTTTCGCCCATTATGTAACTTTGACAGCAGAGGCCTTGGTGTTACATGGTCAGTATCAATAAAATGTAAGATGATTGCACTTTTTACGGATACACTTCCACCCTTAGAACAGGACCCATGCTGGACGACTGATGTGCCCAGTTCTTCAAGAGCAGGTGAAATGGTAGAGATACATCCAGGTGGTCAGGTGCAGGGCCTTATTCTTCGTATTATTGAAAAATACCAGGTGACTGTTGAACGTAACTAAACATTAATGTAACGGATATCCTTTGTAGGGAGTTTCAGGTCCTTTTCTCTAACATGTGACAGTCGGATCAGCTTTAAATTCAATGTTCATATACAGAATCATTTTGTTCATTACCATGTCTTTTAAACAAAGTGTTCTTGAAAATTTCTCGTGCATATCAGATATTGGTAAGGTGTAATTTGTAAATAACAGCGACTGTCCTTCTACGCGAACTAATTTGCCGAAAACAGCCTTTCATTTAATCATTTGCTTTTTTGATCAATCCTCGATTGGTGTAATTTTTGTCAATTTGACATTTCGTAAGTCGTTTCCAAAATATAATTCACAAGAAGATTAAATTTTCCAGTGGATATTTCAATATCTGGAAAGCAGTCAATAACTAGGTATGATAATTTGAGATTCCAGTACGACGTTTCAATTTCGATTAAAATCTGTTGGTTTGACGCTTGTGATGAAGATTAACTTAAACCTCACTACTAATAGAGTGGTAGACTCAGCAAAAATTTTTAATTTGCCAACAGACAATTAGAAAGAAGGAGATCCAGAATACTATCACTTTGTGAAATACCGAAGGTGATGGACAAGAGCTCAGAGGAAACGAAACAATTTTCATGAAAAAACAGTCTGCCGAAGACGGCTGCACCAAATAATCTAATTAACGAACATCCAGTTGCTTCACCTATATAGTTCATTTTGACGTGAGTTAGGTGCGGAAAGACATGAAACAACAAACTTCTAAAGCACTTGACGGTTGAGCTGAAATTAATTAAGATCAGCTTATCCATGAAATCTTGTAGCTCATTTCATAGGTAGCCAACCTAGTGCTGAGGAGGTCATTAGTTCAGTTTGCTCTTTGACTGTGGTATTCGGTCAACTTTATTCACCAACCTTTTCTGTCTTGCACTCTTTCAGAGCTCCTTGTCACACAAAAGTTCTTAATTCATGGACAGCTAGCAGCACTACAGATTAACCCGTTTTTTTACCAGACTTATCGAAATAGCTTCGATTGACAGGCTAGTACTAATCTATTTGTATTAGTTGAAGTTTCATCACTCAAATCTCACCAAATCATAGTGTAAAACGAACGACAATTAACTGTCTACTTACCTTTATCCCATCAGCTGCCCAGCCAGGCCTTTTGTATTAATCCAGGCTAAACTGAATCACAAAAGGGGAGAAGTTATTTGGTTGAATATAATGCCTCAATCTGGCCAACTGGTGGTCTCAATGTAGTCGAGTCGATGTTTGAAGGTGAAGTGAAAACCTGAGTCATAGGAGGATTCAAGTCAGAAAGCTCCAGATTGCCAGTCTGGCACTAGTCTGAATCCTGTGGTGAAGAAGGGTTTGTTCCAACCCTCGCTTATCACCGTAATATTATTTTCATTACCTTAAAGACTAGTGCTTACTTCCCTATCTCTGGGAGCTAACATAAGGTGAATCTTGCTAATTAGCTTGGTGGCGGCGAGTAGTACCATCCAGAGGGTGCGCTTTGTCCTATTTGGGATCTGTCAGATGGATATACCTGCACCCCAGTGAGGGATATTGTTCCCTCTGAGACTTGGACCCAGCAACCACCACTTCAAACAACTAAGCGTTATGCACTAGGCCATAGGAACAAGAAGGCCACCCCTTATGCAACGGGTTCCCCATATTATTATTTATTGAAACTTGTGGCGCTTTGGCATTTGAAGTGGTGAGTGGTGACTTTGAGTCTCAGTGGGAACAACACCACTCACTGAGGTGCAGGTGCATCCAGGTGGCGACATCAAACAGGAAGGAACGCACATCCTAGTTTCCAGTGCTGGTCACCACCAAACAATTTACAACATACTGAATAATCAGACAATGTCAAGGAATTCATATATGAGACCATCTGTCAGCAGAGGTGATCAATAAATAATAATAGCAGGTGAATAACCCCATCAGAATACAACTGTCTGATGAAACAATCACTAGTTTCAATCTGGAGGTTTGTAGAAACCTGCTAGTTGATTTCTAGTTGAAATTCACAATTAACTGAAATCAGTTGCAGGAACATTGGAAACCTGGGGGCACTGAGCAGCTGTTTCGTCTAGTGTGGGACTCCTCAGCAGTGCGCACCCACGAGCCTTCCAGGGATCGAACCCAAGACTTTCACGTTCCACGGCCGGGAAATCAGTGGTAACGTGCTGGCCACGGAACATGAAGGTCTTGGGTTCGATCCCTGGAAGGCTCGTGGGTGCGCACTGCTGAGGAGTCCTACACTAGGACGAAACGGTTGTCCAGTGCCCCCAGGTTTCCGATGTTCCTCCAACCGATGTCAGTCCATGATGGACTACAACCTGAAACCAATCACTTAATTTGATTTTTATCGTCAAAATTTTATGTATTAGTAAATATTTATTAAACATCCTTTCATTTCCATATTATTTTAATTGTCATTGAGTCAAATCACAAATCGGTCGAGCAAAACTACCTGAAGGCTGGTCATAAATCTATCAGATAAGGCAGAATGAGATGACATGTTGATGTATGAACCGGAAATTGTCTTCGTGTGTGTTTTTCTAATGAATACTGCAGCTAACCACATGGATACACGTATATACAGAAATGCACCTGCTCATCGTAGTCTATCCATGTATGCTAAAGTTATCCTGGTTATCATACGAAAACATTTGTTGGAAAGAAATAACACTAGAAAACATTTCGATGTAGGTAGATGGTTTTATTGCACTGGCTAATCATACGACTAACATTATTCTATTGATTAGATAGTCTACGGTGACTTTGGTTAGGGGACTGAGATAGCTAACTGCTGGTGGTAATGATTGATAAGTTGATAAGGAGAATCTGGTTGTTGGACACTTTTTCAACCAGTGGCCTAAGGGCCACCAGCCATAGGGGATTTTAAAATTGGCTGTCAACTAACTTCATGGGTTCTTGCAATGATGTAGTATTTTTCCCAGCTTACTGCGTGAATCAGAGACACTTATCAGTTTGCAGTCCATCTGAAAAACGGCTCAACAACGCTGTTTCATTCTGATGAATTTTAAAATTAAAAACCATTGAAATTAGCCAGTTACAGGGTGGTCAGTCTTCAAATGATTTACAAACTGCACGATCTGCTTTGGTATCTCTCACAGCTGAATAGATTTCCAGCTTCCCCCCAACTTCAGTGTCAATAGAGTTTCCATTGGAAATCCAGCCAAAATCACAAGGTGTGATCTCTGACACGAAATAGTCATAAATCATCATCATCAATATCAACATAGAACCAGGCATTACTGCATAACGTTACGCGTTCTCACACCTCAGATCAGTACGTCAAGTAAAAAGGCAGTTAGGTGGGAGATGAAGATAAGAAAATTCAGTCAGAAGAAATATAAAGTACGAAGAGAGAGAAACGAAGAATCAGAAAATGGTGAGATTCGGCATAATGTTAAGATGAGGATAGTGTGTGTATGCATCTGCACCACTGACATCGGTTCTCAGCCATATCACCTACAATCTCAAACCACTGGTTTCTCTTGTCCTGTGGACCCCAACAACCTAGTCTCCATCGCCCCACATGGCTCAAATCAACAGCCAAACACTTCATACACTGGTGCCATGCTTTAGTCTGGCCACCTCGAGCCTTTTTCCAGCCTGGACCCACCTCAGCCAACATCGTCTGACAAGGCAATCGGTGGCTAGGCATACGTAGTACGTTTCCCAACCATCTCAGTCAATGAAGATTCATAACCTTGTCAACTGATTTACCTCTTCTCCCCAAAACTCTACACCTGACTTCCGCATTACTCATGTGGTGACACCACGGAATACGTCCTATACTACGAAGTCAATGGTGGTATAACACATGAAGCCTTCTCATGTCTTCAACCTTCAATGGCCATGTTTCACAGCCATAGAGTAGAGCTGACTAGACTGCCGTTCGAGAGCAGTACACGCGACCATTAGCAGACAACCGGATATAACGGCGGCGCCACAGGTGGCGTAAGTTGCCGAAAGCCAGCCAGCTGAGCTTTTTGTATCCGTGCAGAGATCTCATCGGCCACTGAGGCAGTCACCAGGTATGATCCTACTTCCCAGGTAGGTGAAGTGGTCGACACACTCAACCACCACACCCTATTGTTAGCTGTAACACCGCTCAAGACCAATCCTGGAGCAACAATCTGCATTTGGATGGTGAGAAACGCATCCCAAATATTCTCAAATTGACACTCAAAGTGTTCAGAAGACTCTGCATCTTGTCAGCGTATTCACCTAACAGAACCATGTCATCTGCATATTCTCGGTCTAAAGAAAATTCTCCTGCGATTAGGTCAACCTCTGTGTAATCAGGTAATGAGAGGGAGACCTCCATAAGAATGTCTATGATAAAATTGAATAAGAATGGGGAGAGTGGGCACCCTTGACGGACACCACTTGATGAGCATAGCTCCCTGGACATCTCACCATAGGCTCTAACATGCCCACAAGTGTTCGAGTAGAGAGCCTTCCATAAGGTGATGAACTTACTCGACACGCCTTTCAATGACAGACACTGCCATAAGACTCCTCGATCAACGGAGTCGAGTGCCGCCTTCAGACCGAGAAATACAACTATTGTCGGGCGTCCGTAAGTGTGTCTGTGTTCCAGAACCTGGCACAGTGTGATAATTTGGTCGATACACCCACGGCCAGGTCTAAAGCCTGTCTGGCTTTCTCTGGCTTGATGTTCCCGAGTTCCACTCAGGCGTCGAAGAATTATAGAACCTAGAATCTTGGACACTATGTTCGTCAGGCTGACTCCCCAGTGGTTATCACAAGAGGACTTCTCGCCTTTCTCAAAGACTGGGATAATCAGTGATTTAGACCAGTCACAGGGGATCGTATTTGATTCCCATATACTGGTTAACACTTCCATCAACCTGACTAAGAGCACCTTACCACCACCCTTGCATACCTCAGGAGTTAGTCCATCTGGTCCTGCCGCCCTTCCTCCTTTCAGGTTACCTGCCGCTTTCTTAACTTCTTCTAGTGTTGGGGGCCTATCTCTATGTCCCATTCAGGATCCGACTGGATAGCAGGCAACGCAATAATGGCTGGAGGCCAGTTAAACTGTTCCTCGAAGTGTTCTGCCCATCGTTTCAGTCGTCTCCCCTGCGAGTGAATCGCCGATCCGTCTTTCTCCGCTATAGCCTCACTAACTGTTGTTGAACTTTCCCCCCCACTCTCCTTAATAAGTCTAAATAACTGTCTACTGTTACCGATCGCCGCTGCCTTTTCCATCTCTTTAGCCTTCGCTGCCCACCACTGTTCACGATCGTTGCGCAGACTTTTTCTCAATCCATTTTTAAGTTGCGCTCGCTCTTCATTGTACTCAGAGCCTGCAGGGATGCATTCACGTGCATCCATTAGTTCGGAAGAAGCTGCTGATATCCACTGGCTCTTTTTAGCCATTATTTCGGAGTCGGCTACAGTCTTCAGTGCTGCTTTTACAGCAGACTGAAGATGGCACCAAGCTTCTTCTGGATGAGTGATAGTCTTTGTTCCGATAACTGCCTAGCCAACTTCTCACTGAACACGGCTTTGGTGTTTTCGTTGTCCAGCAGCACTCGTAGTGGTTTTGTTGCCAAATTTTTTCTACGTCCATTGAGACGCAGGCATATACGTGCTCGGACCAACGCATGATCGCTATCCAAACACGTACTCCAGAAGGAGCGGCAGTCTTCCACCGATCCTCTCCAGCGATGACTGATAGCAATGTGGTCTATCTGTGTCCATCGCTGAGTTGAGCTCGGTGGACGCCAGGTCAGACAGTGTCTTTCTTTATGTCTGAAATTGGTGCTGGCTAAAAATAGGCGGTTATCTGAGCATAGTTGTAATAGGCGATCACCGTTATCTGTACGTTCAGCTGGGATTCCGAAAGTGCCACCTAAGTGCCTTTCTGCCTCACTCAGTCTACCCACCTGTGCGTTGAGGTCACCTGCAACAACCACCACGTCCGAACGTTTGGCTTTCGAGAGGAGGTTAGACAGTTTATGGTAGAACTCGTCCTTCACTTCATCCGAACTGCAGTCAGTGGGTGCGTAAGCAGAGATTACAAAGAGACAACGGCGAGTCTCACTATTCCTTTTAGTTCTCACTGTGCCGTTCAGCCTCATAGCGCAGAGGCGACTATCAACTGGGATCCAGTCTAGTAGTGAGTTTTCTGCCCTGGTGCTTAATGCTATACCTACACCTGCAAGACCACGAGAGCTAGCTATCGAATCTCCAGAAACTCGAAGGGTGAATTTTGCGAATTCACCAGATTGGTCAGGAGAGGTCAGGTGAATAACCACACTTGGGTCCTGTATGCGTGTCTCACAAACACAGCACACATCCATGGCTCGAGTTGCTAGAGTCTTTGCTAACGAAGCCTGTTGGCCAATTTGACGGAGGGTGCGGACATTGAAGGCTCCAATATGTAATTTGGAGCGTGGTTTAAGGAGACCAGTGATGCTGTTCTGTGGACTCAGATCGTTGTCGAAGGCTGCAGAGGTAGGAGAAATTGAAGATGATGCAGCATCATTAATTAAGAGACGTGAAGGAAGATTAGAAGGTAATGATGGAGGAGGTGGATAGCAGTCAGAAGAAACTTGGGTGCTGACAGAGTTGTGAGGGCGGTTGACACTTCCCGGCTGCCCACACCGTGGAAGGCTATTTCTTCTTAAGGTACCTGAAAGAGGTTTGTGTGACCGCAGAGCCCATCGGACATCTGCTTGAGGCCTGTCACAACCAGCCTTTTGTGTGTGATTATTTTGAACTTTTGTTGTTTTGGGGCCGGATAGTCGAAAGGAAACGACAAGTGAACCAACACCGCCGGCCGGCAGACCATGGGGCGTGGTGGAGTGTGTTATTTTTGGGGCCGACCTTTTCTAGCCCCCCTTCCACTGAGAAGGCAGCATCAGCATGGCACTGCTGGTCATCCAAGGGAAACACCTTACTGCTGTCACACCCCATCCAGCTAGCAGCAGTACGACTTCTCCCTCAGACCCCCATCATAGTGTAGCAATTTACACCATAACGGTAACTGCTTTTCGTCTAACCACTATCCAACAGACCTTTCTGGTACGGTAGGACCTCGAGGGAACAAGCGTTCCACCAGCATAGCTTTTTGGGTCATTGTGATATGCAAACCCGACCACCACGTCAAGGTAGCAGCTATCGGTCGGGAAAACAGTCATAAGCTAGCCTAATATACTGTTCCTGAACAATTTGAGTAGTTAGTAACCACTCGGACTAATCTGTAAATTTCAAAACAGCCATCTGGTGTGTAGATTACTCTGAGCTGGCTGGCGAAATCTACAGATTAGTCTGAGTTGTTTCTAACTAATCAGCTCATATAGTTAAGAATTTTGACTGAAATACACAAAAGATTCCTAATCTATGACGAAATAGCGTCTTCTATGTCCCCTGATTTTTAAGAATTCCTTTCAGTAATGTCGATCTAAGACGAAAAGTGTAGGATAACAAGTCATCACACGTGAACTTAGAACATGGAATCCATTATTCTCCAGTCAGTAACCAATAAATCCAATACTATCCTGCAGAAGACCATTCGTGGCCCTAATACCTTGGTGGTAACTTCTATCACTGCAGCACATAGAATACAGGTTTAAGCCTTGGAGGGGACATTAGTTTTCTCATGGCTGTAGATTAGCCTTTCTGAAGAGTGGCAAAACAGCACAAAACTCCGGTCAAGCAGGACCTCCTGCTGATTACCTCTAATCCACTAATATCTAAGACACCAAGTACCTCCAAACTGCTGGTAACAATTCATTGAGACTTTCTGAGTAGCTTCGAGATAGATTTCTGGAAATGCAGTCGGATGCCACAGCTTAAGAGATCACCTGCTTTGGAAGTGAAGACAGTTGCCTACGAATAATGTGCGTCATTGGGGACGCTGTTTTAAATCAGTAACTGAATTTGGAATTCTTATCACTGGACATCAAAATATTGTCTAAATGGCGATGGCTTTACCAAGAGAACTCAAGACTATGAGTTTGATCTTATATGGGATTCAAAGCTGTATCAGCTGACGAAGAGCCACCAACTAAGACGAAATGGTCTTCAACTGCACCTTAGTTGATCTCTTCACAGAGTTGGTCAGTCCATGATGAAACATATTTTAATGTTAGCCAGCTTAAAGCTAACCAAGGGTTATTTCGCATAATCTGAACAATTGAACGCGTAGTTGCAGAAATGGTTACACGCCATATATATATATATATATATATATATATATATATATATATATATATATATATATATATAATTCAGTTGCCTGGGGGGGGGGAAGGCTGTGACATTCAAAATGCTTGGAGCTAAGTTCGAGTCCCATCACAAAATGAATACAGACAGCGTTTCATCCACCCCGTAAATCCCAAGTGGAAAAATGTGTATTCTGGATTCCACTACTAGCCACATTCAATGAAATAACATTGAATAATAAGTAAGTTACCACCATAAGTTTGCAATGTTAGATGAATCACGTTATTTTGTTACTTTTAAAATTTTATTTATTCTCTGCCTGAAAGAATCCTAGCTAATTCACAAACCAAACCCCTACATTGGTTATGTTTTTTCTCTTCTATCCATGTCAATTTCTAGAGGAACGAATTCAGTGTAGCGAATTCAAATAAACAATAACGCTATTGATCATTGAATGGATGTGAAACTTTTTAAACTATACGAAACTGTTATTCTCAGTTAGTGAAAACAATAAATATACTAATGATTATTTCTCTAAAAATATTACTCATCACATAAAATGCTTTTCAAAATAATAATAATAATAATAATAATAATAATAATAATAATAATAATTTTTGTTGCTTACGCAGAGGGAATGAAAAAGATTCGTGCTTTCGTAAAATACAGTCTCCGTGATGTAATTATAGTGTTCTTGTCGGCTAGAATTGAGTTGAATGAAAGTCTGAGTGAATGACCCACATTCATCCAACTGTTCTTACCTCATATTTACGAGTTCTTTCATTTCACTCTAAATCCAGTCAGCAATAAGTAATGATACTGAGTGGTGACTAAAGGTGGAATAAAGATATGGACTAGAGTAGGTAGGATTCGAACCAGTGACCGAGTGAGGAGGTAGTCAGGGATAAATGAAGTGTCTTTAGATAACTAACAATAACTGAGTCATTTATTATCATCTGACCAGTTGTGCTGTCTGTGTTCCCAGACCAAAGTAAGTGAGGCACTTTTCGAAGCAGTGACTCAGGGATCCGTAGTCAGGATTGCATATATTGACATCATGTGACATCGGTAAACATAGTGAGTTGAACACGGAAAACCAATCTGAATCCCAGTATCGTTGTTGGTCAGAATCACAATAAGGGAAAAAGTGGACAAATGATGAGTCTCTTGTAAGGCTGGTGTATTTGAAAAACACTGTAACACTTATGTAATTACCAGTGACCTTGTGAAGTTCCACATTATTCTTGAAGGTCTGTAGTCAGGCATTTGCAAATGTGATGATATGATTTCCGGAAAAATTCCCACCTGATTTGACTGGTTTTGAGTTGTCAGGACTTTTCATCTTCTTTCAGGCTCAGATTCTCCTACATTATTTAAGTTTACACATATCGGTTATTCTTCTATTAACAACATTTAAAATTCTAAAAGGATTTTTAGCATGAATCCATATCAGTTAAAGAGAGAAGCTCATGGGCACTGGACTGTTCTTTATTTTCTAATTTCAGATAACTAACCACTGACTACGAAGGGGTTGATGCATGATCTCGTGATAAGCTCGTTACCCCTAATCGACTTGGCTGAATAGATCTCAGTAGCTTAAGTTTTCATGTTGCTATCACTCTGCAACCTCAAACCAACCCATTCCCTACAAACCCTCCAACTAATTGATATCTTATTTAAACATATAAGAATATAACTAGGTTATTTGGTAGTGTACCTTAAAGATTGACATGTTTCGTTTCTAAAAAATTTTTTCTGCTCTCTAGCAGGTCTTTTAAGTGTTAGTTACAAGAGGGTAGTCGAGATCGCAACCTCATCCTTCATGACTGAAAAATATCTGTGTGAGGAAACTGTCGATATGTTCTGACTCCAACCCAGTAAATGTGTCATCCACATATCGCCACCATATTTTAGGTTCAGGACTTAACGTTTGCAAAGCCGTATTTTCCCAAGTATGCATAAATATATCTGTTACGATTGGGGAAATTGGCGATCCCATTGCTATTCCTTTTGTTTGTCTATATATTTTGTCATGAAACTTGAAGACCGTGGAGGTCAGGCACAACTTTACGCCTAATATGACCTCATTAACCAATATCTTAGTTCTGTCAGTAAGTTCTGAGTCAACATTTAGTTGATTTCTGACTGCCTCCAGCGCCATATTGATTTTTGTTTTAGTATAAAGACTTGTAACATCCCAATTAGCCATTTTTTCATCCTTTTCCATACGAAAGTTATTAAGCCTTAGTTTTGAACTTGTGAGACTTTACTAGTCTGGAATTTGAACGGTTCCCAATTGGTCACAATATCAATGCTAAGTGTTTTGTTAGTTCATATATTCGGCTTTTCTGAAGTCAACTGTGGATTTAGTGGGATAACCTGCTTTATGAACATTAATAGCTCTATAAATTCTACTAGGATTATTAGTTTTAGGCATTAAATTAAACCATTTAGACTCACCTAGAGATGGCTCTAGTTGACGTATCAGATCGGCTGTAAATTTCTTAATTTTATTCATGACAGTGTCTAAGGGTTTCTTGATTCTTCATATGGTCATGTTTAGACATGTACGCCAATTTTGCTGAAGTCATCCAATTTGTCTGTAACTAATGTTGAATTGTCTTTATCAGTCTTAACAATTACTACGTTATTTTCATTTCGTAGATTATTCAGAGCAGAATTTTCAAGTTTTGTTAAGTTTCTTTGTCTTTTCATTGTTAACGTACACTGAGCTCTAATCTGTTCAGCAGTTGCTGCATCCACCAAGCTTAATGCTACTTCTCTGCTAGGTATGAGATCTTCGGGTTTTAGATGACTTATTATCACGTTGAAGTTTAGTCCTTTTTCGAGTACTTTCGTCTCAGTTCAGCTTCACGTTCTTGAGGAGAGATTGACTACCCGCTTTGTTCACAGGATTATCATGAAAAATATCCATCAGTCAGCAGTCCCATTAAGATCACCAAAGTCAGTGCCACAATGTTAGGGTCCCGATGTATTCAAAGTTGTTTACAGAATGAAGACAGGCAATACACCTTCGTGATCCAAAAACGTTCAGAACTTTACATTGAAACTAATCACCTTTAATACTAATTGATGTCAGGTGACTGAAGGTAATCCACAGGAAACTGCACCTGTTGCTATTCATCTGTAGGGCATGTCCACAACCTTGATGAAACTTCATTTTCTCCCCAGAGGTTCGAATCCACGTCACTGAGTAGGGAACCCGGATACCTTCCCACCAAAAAAAGTCTTACATTGTATGAACAGTTAAGTGATAAAATCTCTAGTCACTAGACCGTAACACACATTCAAATTCCCACTTTACAGTGATATATGCATGTCACCGGTTTACAAATTAAAGACATTCGTTATTATAAACAGATGTTATGTGATACGAAAGCCATTGCCGTCCTACCAAATTTGCTCAAACCAGGTGTAAAATGTTTCGTAGCTATGTCTAGTCCTTATTGTACATGATCCAACCCTACAGGGGGTCAATAATGAGACTTTATCACTGAGCTGTTCATTTCGCGATGGACCACCTGTAGGACTGGTTAACTATATAATATATCAACGAATGATTCCAGGATATTCTACTCTAAATAAGCCATGAAACAGCTAGGCAGTAGGCAACCAATTACAGGCGCCATTGGTATTCCGTCTTTATGTCGATATATTTCTACACTAAATAAATAATGGACACGGTGTACATCTTAGGATTAGCTCTTTAATATGGCTACTAGATATACCAACATTCAAGTGTTTAAAATCGATAAACTTACACAAACAACATAAGATTTCCGTCAGTGGAACATTGCTGACTAAAGAGGAAATATGTAGTGAGGCTTATGGTGAGAAGTCACGAAAGAATCCTCTTTGTTAATCAATGTCTTTTTAATTATCATCGTATAGGCGTCTTTCACATGATTTAGAAATGTAAGTGCCAAACAGTAGTAAAAGAGACTAGTATTTTTCTCCACTATTCGGTCAAGCTTGCTGAAGCAAAGACCAAGACTTCGTTTCTGAAACCTTGTGTTATAAATCGTGAATATCCAACGTATTTTTGGAAAGTCATTCCGAGGAACCATATCTATTCAAGCTACAGAATCTTAAGGTGTCATGTTCTCAATCTAATTGACGACCTACACTGGTATCTCTGCTCGTTAGAGCGGAATGTTTATCCGAAGATTTTACGCACTTGATGAATTCCCATTGAGACATTAAAAAGCGCAAATTAATTCAGAGAAGAAAATTTTCTTTTCGACGGATTATTTTTACCAGCTATAAAATCATATTTATAGTAATAACTAACAAACAGATTATTCTATTATTGGCTAGCAGGTCAAAATTAGGTCATCAAAACGGAATGCTCTAGGGTGAAATGCTGGGAAGATTATAGAGTTAAGAAGGGATTGCGCAATCAAGTGTGTATAAGGAAAACATGCAGTATGTCAGCATGATGACTAATAGATTCAGAAATAAACAGGTAGAAAGTAATAACACTAGTTATAATCAATAATTAGAGTAAAGTATTACGGGAAATTTAATGGGATATTGGAGCTAACTTGTTACCATGTGAGACAGTAAGGCGAAAGTAAAAATAAAAAACAAAGAATAATGGTAATTAGTTAGTAAGAGTAAGAGGTATATTAAAGCAATAAAGAAACTCAAGTAAGAAAGGTGATAAACACAAAATAAGAGAATAGATGTACCTCTTCTGTACTCAGAGCTCAGGCTTTCATTGTTGGATTGCCAACGCTTCTGTTATACATAAGTAACGAATCCGTGCTCCTTTCGAGCTGTTTGGCTTGACTATGTTTAGGATTTTGAAAGAAGACTGTAGGTAAGTGACATGGTCGTAGTCGGCCAGATGACCCAAGATGGAACTGTTGCTTGACTTACGTTCTCCTCTGGGCAGCCACATAGGATGAACCTCGGTGACGTGTACGGAAAGACTGGACTTTGTGCGGCCCATATAACCAGACCCACAACAGCAGGTAAACGGGTTATTATTTTTTCTCCTTGGGTTCCTAGTGGAACATAGGGCTTCAGTAGCACGCCTCAATTTCTCTCTGTTCTCTGTAGGCTTTTGAACCTGGAGCCACGACTGCCCACAAGCTTTCATTTCTTCCTCACATGATCTCCACGTCATTCTCGCCTTGAATGCCCAGCTCGTCGCTTCCCCTTTGGATTCCGCTTGAGGGCCTGGCCTGGAGAGTGATGTCCCCAGTCGACCTTCTCAGTGTATGCCCAATCCATCTCCACTTCCTTCTGCATATTTGTTGGACGATAGGTTCTTGGTTGGTTCGTTCCCACAGTTCCTTGTTGCTTATTCTTTCTGGCCATCTGATCTTCGGTGTCGAGTGGGTGTGGGCGGCAGTTGTTGATGAATGTCCGTAGTTTGTTGGAAATTCTTTTCGTGATGCGCCAA